CCAACCTTGATGATTCTATGATTTGAACCTGGCATTGTTAAGCTGGAGACAACAGATGGAACTAGAAAACTCTCCAATCTGAAACAATTTTGGAATTCCTTGTCTTCCATACTCTCATTAAAACAAAGTCTTCCTTTTCTATATTCCAAGCCTAGCCATGAACTCCTTGGGTGTTCAAAACCACTAATACCTTTGTGACATGTTTTGCTCCTCAGAAATGCCATTGTCTGAAGCCTGAACATGTCATCAGGATACTGCAGATTTTTCTGTGTCTCTCATTAGACATTTCTGCTCTTTTTCTCCCCTGTTTTCCTCCATATACCTTTTCCCATTTTTTACATGTGTATGTAGCAGGAGATGAATCCCTCATCCTTTGCATAAATGAAAACTGATGCCTACAACATTTGTTTTCAATAAACATATATTAAACTCAAGTTATCTGCAGGGATACAGGACACTGAATTCAGGAAGATAACGAGGTACTGGAAGCTGAGTTTGCCAGCTATGATTATCTAGCAGTAAGAAAAGAACAAGCTTAGAAACCTCTGACAGGCTGTTTAAAAGGGAAAGAATACTCAGGGAGGCTGCTGCAATGGAGAGAGGAATTTTCAAAACTCCAAACAGGAATTCACATTCTCTGAATACTGAAATACTAGAGCTTATTTTAAAGAGGAAAAAAAACATCTCACAGAGAAGGCAGAAGGTGGGATTTGCAAAAGCACTTGAGAGACAGGACACAGATTCCACTAGAATTTGTGTCCTAGGCTCTTAGAGCAGGATTGATCCCAAATCTCTGTCTGTCACAGTATCTGAGCTACATGAGGCTTCCGGTCAATAGAGCAAGTCATACCTGAGGCAAAAGTCATCCCATGATGGGCTGGATGTCTGAGGTGGATGGAATGATCCATAGAATCCTAGGATTTTAGGGGTTGAAATGGAGCTTAGAGATGATCCAGCCCAAACCCCTGCCCTGGGCAGGGACACCTCCCACCAGAGCAGGTTGCTCAAGGCTCATCCAACCTGGCTGTGAACACTGAGAGCAAGTCATACCTGAGGCAAAAGTCATCCCATGATGGGCTGGATGTCTGAGGTGGATGGAATGATCCATAGAATCCTAGGATTTTAGGGGTTGAAATGGAGCTTAGAGATGATCCAGCCCAAACCCCTGCCCTGGGCAGGGACACCTCCCACCAGAGCAGGTTGCTCAAGGCTCATCCAACCTGGCTGTGAACACTGCCAGGGTTGGGGCAGCCACAGCCTCCCTGGGCACCCTGGGACAGGGTCTCACCACCAGAACAGTGAAGAATTTCTTCCTAACAGCTAATCTAAACCTTCCCTCCAGCCTGTGGCTTTCAGCAGATCACTATGGGCTGGATGAAGTGTGACTGGGAGGCTGCACAAAGCACTCTGCAAATTAGCATCACAAACTCATCACATCCAGCAAGAAATAAAGGTGATCACGATGTTTAGCATTAATAGCAGTAATTACTACCCACCTTTGTTGCCAAGGACTTGAGCTTCCCCAGCAGGGACTGCTTGTTTGAATACACGACCTCTTCTTCATTGTCCTCCCCTTCCATGATGGCACAGCTGTCAGCAGCTGGCAGCTCACACTCCTTGGAGTTCGCTGTCATCACTAATTTGGAATACTTGTACTCCAGCCTGGAGAGACAAAGCCAGACAAGCACAGATTTCTTTACTAATGCCCCATGTTAAAGGGGTTTGGAACTATCTGCAGTCCTCCCATACAGTTACTTCTGAGGGGTTTACTGGAAATCAGGTACTTTTCAGTCATTACAAATAGGTAACAGAGAGAGTATTGACAACACTTTGAGCTGTTTCTCTCCACATCTGTCCTCTATCCTCATAAACCAGCCACAAGTAGGTTCAGAATGTTTCCTGCATGAAGAAGTGTGACCTGTGTGCTGCTTGGGGCAAAATACCAACATAGAACTAAGCAATATAGAGTCAAGAACCCTATTTTAACCCAACTGAAAGGGACTGATTAGACTGAAGGCAAATTTTTGGTCTTCAGACCTTGAGAAAGCCACGTTGCTTCAAAACCTAAGGCCAACTTCACACTCTGGAGGGGTTCAAAAGACAGTTCCTAAAGGGAAATCATGGCATCACAAATTACTGTGGATTTTCCATGCCTTCCTCACCAGCACTTTTGGTAGCCACTGCTGGCAGAAGAAATATCAACTTGGTGGCTTAACAGACCGATCCAACGTGGTTGTTCTCACCAAAACTGTCATGAGGTCAGACTCAGGAAAGGTCTTTCTGTTCATTCCATCAAGCTTTTAGCTTACTCTGATATGGAACACAATTTGCAGTACTTACTTCTGGTTCTTCTTCCAAAAGTAGCAAGTCAAGGCTATGAGCAGAACAGCTGTGAAAGCACCAACACCAGCTCCCACTTTCAGCCAAAAATCCACAGTTTCACAGGTGCTGGTCCTTTTCTCTGGCAAGGGAACCCCTTTAATGCAGTGCTTTGGCTCATTCCATACATACAAGGTCTCCTTTCAAACAGAAAACACCAAAAAGTGAGCTGTTTG